ATATTACTTAACACTAAAAAGACATGACCTATCAAGCTATGGAAAGATGTGGAGGAACCCTAAATGCATATTACGGAGTGAAAGAAGCCAGTCCGAAAAGGGTACAGCCTGTGTGAGCCTAACTCTATGACACCCTGGAAAAGGGAGAGCTCTGGAGACAGTAAAAAGATCAGGGGTTGGTGGGGGTTCAGGGTGGAGGGCAGGGGAGAGTGATGAATAGGTGGAGCACAGGGGATTTTTAGGGCAGTGAAACTATTCTGTATGACACTGTAATGGTGAATACATGTCACTATACATTTGCCAAAATTCATAAACGTATAACAGCAAAGATTCCTAATATAAGCTATAAACTGTTTGATAATCATGTTGGCAATCTATGATAATAATGGTTACATGATGATAACAGTGTTAATAATAATGTTGGTTCATTGATTGTAACAAATGTACCACTTTGTGGAGAATGTTGACGGTGGGAAAGGCTATGTGAGTGTGTGTCGGGGGGTGGTCAGTGAGTACACAGAAACTATTGTTTCAGATTAATTTTGATCTGGATCTAAAAGGGCTCTAAAAATAAAGCCTATTAATTTAAAAAAAGAAAAAAGTGTTCCAACAGCCAAATCACATTTCCAGCTTTCCTTGAAAAACCAGTTCTGATGGTTCCAGCCTCAACCAGGTGGAGATGAGCGACTGGTTTTTTGCTTCCCATAATGTCACCTGCCTGGCCTTTGATAGCACTGGAGTTTGAGATTCAGTCTAGATCAATGGTTCTCAACTGGGAGCAAATATCTGGGACACTGGCACTATATGGGGACATTTTTGGTTGTCACAATGGGATGTGCTACCGGCATCTAATGGGTGGAGGCCAGGGATGCTGCAAAGCATCCTGAAATGCACAGGACTGCCCCCACCGCAGAGAATGATCTGGCCCTAACCACCATTAGTGCCGAGGTTGGGAAACCCTGGTGTAGAAAGTCAGCACCCACTACTTCCTCCTGTCTTCCTGCACAGAGTTGGGGGTACTGGAGGTGAGCCAGACCCAACCCCCCTGCCCCATGAAGCAGCTCTTGGTTTAATAAAGAGCTCCAACCTCTTACAGTTCATTACTTCTCAAAGGTTAGTATACTTATGGGGATCTCATTCAAATGCAGGTCTGGGTCGGGGTGGGCCTAGCATTCTGCATTTCTTAACCGACTCCCAGGGGACACAGATGCTATTCATTTGAGGACCACACTCTGAGCTTTGTCTTCATTCTCAGGAAAGCCTGACCCAGAAAATGCCTGCATCCCAGGAAACACATTCCCTCACTGCCTTAAAAATAATTATAAGTACCTCTCCCAAGTCCCTTAGACCCTACCATTGACAAAGTTCTCAACGTATCTTCACAATAGTTAGGAAAGGGAGTCCAGGATTATTTTATCAATGAGCCCATTTCAAAGATGAACAAACTGAAGCTCATGGAGACTCAGTAAGCAGCCTGTTCTAGAGGCAGAATCATTCCCAATTTGGAGATTTTTCCTTAAAGGCAGCTTGGCTCTCATCTTCAAGGGTGCTACTTGTGCAGTTGCCCAGGACCCAGTGCTCAGAGGGCAGAACATTCAGTTTGATGTTCTACCACCACTGTCTGGAAAATCTCAATTTCTGAACAAGGGATTCTGCACATTCTGAAGCTGCAATCAGTACATGGATTCTGAGAAGAGATCTTTACAGAGCCTCAGCAGGACCACCAATCTGGGGGGTGGGGCTAACAGCCAAGTCCAAGGCCTCCCTTTTCTAAGGGGAAGCAACTAAGTACCCTAGAGTAATCCTAGTGATTCTTGGGGTCAAGCGACCTGGGTTGGAATCCCAAGGCCAGTATCTACCAGCCACAGGACAGAGGTTCATTGTGTACGTAAAGTAGCTTAGCCTCCATTTCCTGTTTCCCCAGTTGTACTGGGCAGGGGGGTCTCCACCTAGACAACAGACAGCAATCACTGGGGAAGGAGAACTTCAAACATAAGGATACCAAAGCCCCTCCCCAGATATTCTGAATCAATTGGAGGGCTAAAGAGCCCCCAGGAGGCTCAAACGTGCAGTCAGGGCTGAGGACCATTGAACCCTGTCAACCTTCAGGAACCTCAAGCTCCTATACTTCTAGTTTATATGACTTACTCTGCGACTCCAGTAGGAATGTCCTGACCCCTCCTGCAAACTCCTAGCCAGCCTAGAGACCCCTTTCCTCCAGACACCTGTGTCCTACATTCCTAGGAGGCTCCTGTTCCACAGTTTGAGATTTCCTAAGGTGTGCTGGGTTCTGTGCTCACTTTGGGACTGGCCTGAGCCACCAGGAATTCATCCCCATACAGGAAATACAGACCTGTGGTCATGCTACGACAATACAAAGCTTATTTTGCTTTGCAAAGTAACTGCTCTATAGAAAAGCTTTTTAAAGAATAGACTCTGGCCTGTGGACTGCCAAAAACAAAACAGAACAAAAAACTTGGCAAGTAGAGTATGACCCTTTCTGCATAAGATGGTGGATTTACATTCATAACTGAGGTTATAGACGCAGAGAAGAGAGGTCTGGAAGGGTAGCCACCACATCAACTGTAATTCTCTGTTTTTTCAGCTTGATTTTAAAATATACAGGAGCACCTATTTTTAATGATTAAAATTTAAAAAGCCATTTCCATTCTGAGAAGAGCATATGGGGTGATTTGCATCTGAGTGGGAAAAAGGGTCACAAAGTTTTGGGTGATTAATCTTTCTTCTAAAGCTAAATTCTACGTCCATTTAGTTTGCTGGTGTACTAGAATAGTTAAAATACTGAGAACAAGAAATATCTGTGAACTTTGTATAAAAATAGAACACATTCTGTGGAGGCCATTTACCCTCATTTAAAAAATGGGGTGTGTGTGTGTGTGTGTGTGTGAATCCTAGAAGCTGGGTCTTCCCCTCTGCGATTCTCCACGGGCGTCTGGAGCTGGTGGGAGAAGGCTGACCCCAAATTACCCCACCCTAGGGCCGGTTCTGCTCAGTAAATGGAAAGGATGGGGGCCAGGGCTGGAAGAATTCCGGCAGGGAGCAAAGATCCGGCACAGCCTCCCTCAGGGGAAGGGAAGGGAGGCAGCCCCATAGCTGCAGCGGGGAGGGGGCACCGGTGTCACTTTCTCTGAACCTGACCCCGGCACGACCGGCCCTTATATAGACACTCAGCTGCGCTCCTGCTCCCTAGCCAAGGGCAAGGAGGGAGGTCACTGCAGCGCGTGGGGCCAAGACGTCTGGCGGAGCCGGCAGCGCCCACCCCCGCCTGCCCCCTCACCCTGACCCAGGCCC